GAGTTTAATCAGTTTCTTGAACACTCTCAATAAATACAAAGTCTCCTCCGTGATACAACCGATAATGAGTCAAGAGAATCATTCCACTCTGTTGGCAACCCTATAGGGTATGTCAAGGAAGATAGTGTGCTGAAACAAAATGGGAGCTTTAACTCCTCACTGTCAAGCACTCCAATTAAGATGGCATCTCATCTCAAGTCCACCGCAAGCAGCAAGAAAAAGAAGGCCTAAATAGCTTTGTTAGGCCACGGTGATAAGTTGTGATGTTATCAAGATTGTGATCTTTTAATATATGACTCTATCTTTCTTTATCTTTTCAATATGATGTCAGTATCTAAAAGATTTTGCTAAGATTCTCACGACATCTTTCTGCGTATAAATTGTGTCTCTATTTCATGAGCTTTACTCATTCTCAAAACCTTAGAAAAGGAAAAAGTTTGCAGGAATGGACAAAGGAAAAGGAAAGATCGATGAAGCTGAGAAAAGAGCTAATCGTCTTAAACATCATATGCAAGAAGCTAGCAAGCTACCAAATGCCACCATCATTAGGCTGGAAGAAGATGGGGAAAGGGTCATCGTAACTTACTCCATGCCTAACACAGCACCAAAGGAGAAGGAAACTCTTGACAAATTGGTCAATGAGTCCAGGGCTAAGAAGGCATACTGCATGGAACAAGCCACACGGCTTGCTAAAGAGAGAATTCTGATGATGAAAAGCTCTAACAAGCACACACCATCTTTTCCCACTTCTCACTGGCATCCTTCTTATGAAGTTCCTCAACCTAGTGATCAATCTTATGAAGATTTCACTATGGTTCACTCTCGGTCCTCCACTCTTTCACCCGAACCCACTCTCTCACTTGAGGAGCTGGATGAATATGCAAAGAAGGCCAATCTGTCTGATGTGACCGAAGAGATGACTCGTCTAGAACTTCACGTGCCCTATCGCTTTCTCTAATTTGTTATGTACTGTACTCTCGTGACTTGGAACTCTCTGTCTCTCATCCTTATGATCCAATAAAAATGTTATCTTTTCGTACTAAGAATGAATGCAATTCATGACTGTGTTTAACTTTGTCTGTTTCTTGTCAAAAGTCACAGGAAATCTCATCACTCAAATTTAATCTGGTCAAAAAGGGGCCATAAAGTATTATGAGTTACATGACTATTGAGTTCATTGGAGTTGAAGAAATGCTTAATAAAGAACCGTTTTAACAGTCAAAGTCTTGCCTGGAATTGATAACTCCTTGAACATATTTATGAGCATTTATTGCTACGTTGAAAAATATGTGTAACAGACACATGAACAGTATGGATCTCTTGCTATAAAAGGAGAAGAATTCTTCACATTATCTCCATCATCTCTTTTCTTCACCATGGATCCAAAGAAACCTTTCACTAGAGGTGACTCTCACAAACTAAGAGAAGGTGCTAGACATCTCAGGGAGGAACAGGGTGACCTTTATCCTGGTAACAGTCCACAAGCACCAGTGGAAATTCTCTCTGATTCCGACTCATCCCTTCTATATGATGATATGGCTGGTTTTATTGTTGAAAGTGAAGAGAGGCTTTCAAAAGATCCTACTCCAGTCACTCCTGAGGATCCTACCAAGTTTTATGATCGAGACTATATGGCCTTTCTGAAACAAGAGGACTTAAAGGAGACATATGATAAGGAGGAAGAACCTGAATCCTCATCTGGCTCAAACTACCCACGAACCGGAAAGTGGTTTAAGCAAATGCTGGGAAATCTGAAAAAGGCAAAAGATGAGCCGTCTGGAGTCAAGAAAAACGAGAGAAAGAAAAATTGATCCTTTGGCTTTTGTATCTTATCTTATGTATTTTCTTATCTCCGTACTATGAATAATAAAACTTTGTTGGCTCTGGTTTTCTTTTGAACGAGATTTTACTTATCTTATTTCTCATCTGTCTAAAATCTCGAATCAAGGACAAATTTCTTGGAAAAGAATATATTCCCTAAGGCGTGCCTTGGTCAAGTCATTCGGACACATCTTTTGAGAGGCTCAAACTCTCTATTTAATGGATTTTTCTCACTCAACTATGGACTCACTTATCACTTTTTTCAAGCTCATGGATAAACGAAAAGAAATGGCCCTCACATCCGAGAGCTTATCTGAGTCTAAAAAAATGTCTCACCATGATCTCGGAAACTCAGTTGAGAAAGGTTCACCATCTGGGAAGGAACCAGACATCTCAGAGTTCTACTCTCTTGTTGAACTCACACCTCTTCTAAAGCACGAAGAAAGATATCGTGCATTGTACGCTTTTGCTAAAGCCAAAGTAATGGCTGAACTGGATGACATGGAGAGACGAGGTCTCTCTAGAGAAACATTGGGAGCAGATCACGAGACACTCATCGCTGAAGTGTTTGCTCATGAAATCCGAAAGAGGGAATACTTTGAGTACGCACGAAAGAAGAAGGGTAGCAATGAGTAAAAGGCAAGCCTGCCTACTAATGCACGAGAGATCGTAATCATTTATGTTACGTATTGTTCTGTGTAATAATTCTCTCGGGAAAAGCATCTCTGTTGTTGTAAAAAGGACCTGTTTGACTTTATTTGTCTCACAAGTCTTATGTTATGAAAATCTTATCTATTTTCGGGTTTGGAATCATGCCTAAAATGCTTGATGTTTTCAGCTTTTAATTCCAACCGTTTAGATGGATCCTAATGGGATCATGTGGCCGAGAAAAATGGTCCACTCTCCCACTCTGTCTGATACAGGATGTGACGTGCATTTAATGCACCCATAAGCACTCAAGTGCTTTTCTCTCACCTCATTAAATGAGGGAATGATCGTTTTTGATCTGCACACGATCTTATCACTCCCCCACGTTGATCAGTTACCATATTAGAGAAGAGGAACCGGGAGTACTTTTAAAATTCAAACAATTCATCTCTAAATGGGTTACCCATACCCGGTTATCCGGAGTTCTATAAAACCCTGTTTAAACCTTTTTGCTCATTTTACCTTACCTTCTTCACACAGTCTCTTCTCTCATCCACCATTCTGCTCTTTTTCTCAAATTCTTAACAATGGCGGAACATTCACAAGCTTCACCCACTAACAAAGAACCAGAAACACCATCCATCCTGGAAATCCCAAGCTTTCCAACTGAAAACCTAAGGTTCATCGAATCCAGAGTACCATTTATTGTCGGAGGTAGCTTGTGGGATGCGCATGGCTTTCTTGAATACATTTTGAACAGACGATTTGGCGAAAACATCATTCGTCTTCTCACAGAAACAGTGTTATATGGTTTCATCACACACCTATACACCATATGGCATCCTATCGACGTAACTCAGTTCTATATGAATGCTTCAATATCCTCTGATTATCTGACCATTACTTCCAGAGTCAATAATCATCATGTGGTCCTTACCTCGGAGGACGTTCGATCAACTTACGGGTTTCCACAGAGAGATAAGACCTACAAGTCTGATATTATCTATTACCATCTCGATCCAGAGGAGTTCTATGAATCCATCAAGAACAATCACGCACCATCCAAGGCAGAAATCACATGGCCGTTGAAGAAGAAGTGGTTCCGGCTAGATTATGAGTTTACTGTTGACATTTTCAACAAAATTGTTGATTACAAGACCTCGGGCACTAATGACGTGACAAAGGAGAAATTGAAAATGCTGCATGGCTTTCTGAATGATTTTAAAGTCGACTAGTCAAAGATCATCTTCAACAATATTGTTCACACCATCACCTTTCACAGGAAGAGTCCAGGAGACATTGCAAAGAAGTTAGGGTATGGCTTCGTGATAAGCCATCTTCTTGCAACGAAAGGAGTCATATTGCGCCGAGGAATTCGGCCTGGACAGAAAGCATGTCACATGAAACAGAAACCATCAGGGTATGACAAGCAGAAGGCATTGGAGTTGGGGATTCCTATTGAGCAGGTTAAAGCCAAGAGGAAGTCGAGAACCCCTAGGGTTTCAGAGGATGATCAACCCAAGCCGAAACGACAAAAGCGAGAAAAACACTCCTCTCGGAGTAAGGCGAAAAAGGCAGAAGAAACTCCAGCCGTTCCAATTCCTCCAAAATCTCCTCAAGAGAAGAAAGATCCCACTCCATCACCAGAAACAATCATTGTAAAGGATTCATCCAAAGAAGACAATCTGGTGCTCTCTCGAATCATCAAAAAGAGTCACTTTCGGTCTCCTGTCAAGCCTAAACCTTCCCCGAAGGAACCTTCTACACCGAAAGCAGCAGAAACGAGAGATGCACCTCCACAGGGGGAAGAAGCTCTAAACGACGCACTTTCTGAGGGGGAAGCTCAACCGAAAGTTGCCCTTCCTGAAAGAGTTTCTGATGGTCAAGAACTCGAAACTGGTCTCGGTTCTCCTCAAGTCCACCATCCACAAGAACCTACTTTGGCAGAGCAACTTCTTCGTGAGTTGACACAAGAACCTGCTGATGTAGAAATGGAGGCCAGTCGCTTAAGTCTTCCACAAGAACCTGGTTCGCCAGAAAAGACGAAAGGAGCGACTGTTGAATTTGTTGATGTTTCTTCTCTGCCACAAGAACCTACCAATGCAGAGCAGGGTAATCTAACACAAGAACCTGCACTGGTAGATGATACAGCTGTTGTGCCGGTCACAACCCCCGTGCTCCCAAATCCTTCTGTTCCAGCTCCCAAAGCACCAACACCAGATCAAATTCTTCGAGCATCCATTGAAAGCGATTACCAACGAGTTCTGCAGTGGAAAAAGTGGCGTACTGCTCCCCTAAGAACTTTTCTTGAAACTTTTGAAGTCATGCAAGACGAAGAAGAATTTGCACTAAAATGGATTGGCACAGAAGATGTTTCCAAAGCCCTTCGAATTGAAGAGATCAATCGAGTGTTCTCATACAAGATGACGAATCGCACTCTCGGGAGAGATAAAGCTCCAATCTGCATCGAACTTAACAAGCCACCCTTGGATCCAGTCTTTGAAGAAGAAATGAAGCAACTTTGATATGCCATGTTGCTATCAAAGATCAAGACCACATTAGAGAAGGAACACCAAAATGATCCAAACTGCAATGTTAGTGGCACGAAGGATGAGCTTGGACGAGAGATTGAAGAAGACGAAAGTGATGTGAACGAAGATGAAGATGAAGATGATAATGATGATGATGTTGACGATGCAGATGACGAAAATGATGATGACGATGATGATGGCAATGATGCTCAGTTGGGTAATGAAGGTGCTCAAGAAGGCGAACCCGAAGACAGTGCTACAATTTTAATCGGCCCTGACTATGACACCTTTCCTCAAAGATCTCCCTTAAGAAAATTACCCTCTGACAGTGATGACCAGGACGAAGTTTCAACCAAACATCCCGAAGATCTGTCTCGTGCCATAGTTCCACATGTCCAACCCATGGACGAGACTCCGATCAAGCAAGAAAAAGAAAATGTGTGTGAGGGCAAACTGGAAGCCTCACCAATTCTTCTTAGCTTAGCAAGTGGTGGAAAACGGGAAGCACCACCTCAAGATGAACACATGGACACGACGCCAACAAACATTGAGGAAGAATCTACTGCAGAGTCCCCACGGACTATCATGAACCTCATGAGAGAAACTGTCCATTCAGCCGAAACCATCCACATGCAATATCTTGCTCTACGAGAAAAGGACACGAAAGTTTTGGATGATTTGTGCAAGAAGGTCGATTTTCTGATAGCTGCACAATCTCAACCTCAGCCTCCACCTCCAGCACAGCCTCAACCGCAGCCACAAAGCCAATCAGATCACAAGATCCTTGAACGAATGGCAAAGAAGCTCCATGACCTTGAAACTGCCCTGAACAAAGTTGCACGGCAACAACACGAGATCAAACATTCTCATTTCAGTCTCAAAGAGCGTGTTGATCTAGCCTGTACAAAAATTGACACTTATCAAGATAACTCGTACCAACTGGGAGAATATGCCCTTCAAATTCTTGGGTATGCCCAGGATATCTTGCTTGCAATCAATAAGGTTTCCTCTGTTCCTCCTACCACCTGTGCAGATGATGCCAAAAAGGGGGAAAAGAGAGATGACGACAAAGATAAGGATGATGATCGTCCGAGAGATATCACGAAAGATCAGTCTCCACAAGCAAGACACTCACCCTCTCGGACACCAAGAGACTCTAGCCGAAGGAACACAAATCCATCCCATCCTCCCTCAAGGTCTCGTGGTCACCATTCCTCGAAGTCAAGATACCATGGTCGATACCAATCCAAATCTCTTAAGCCTCGCCAATCCTTCGGTTCTGAAGCCAAGTACATCTTCACGGGTTTGCCCAAGAGAGAGCAAACGAAACTAAGGCAGAGACTTATGAAGGACAACAGAGTAACTATGGATGGCATAGGAAACTTTGTGGACTTTGTTCCATACGAAGAAGGAAGTGGTAAATGTTTTGAGGGTTGCAACGTTCCTACCTGGCTTAAAACTAGGGACAATCATACAAGGCAAGATCACATCAGCACCCAAAACGAGAGGATCAAAAGAGAAAATAGAGAACTATGGAAGAAACATGATGAAGAAATCAAAAGAAGAGAAGATGAAGCAATGGAAAGAGAAAGGATCAGGAGTCTCATTGAAGATCTTTCTAGTGTAACCAAAGACTCCCCACAGAATGTCATTCACAATGCAGCTTTCAAAGTGCACAAGGAATCAGGAAAGAGTTATCAAGAAGGCATGAATTCGTTTGAGCTAATTTCGTGGTGGAAGTCTGGAATTGTTGAAGGAAGCAACATTCGTGAAGCCTATAACAATTACACAAGCCTGAATATCAAAGGAGAACATGAAGAGCTTGTCAGGACTAATCCAATTAAAGTCTTCAGAGCAAAAATCAATGAGAAAATAGACTTCAACAGGATGCTAAAGCAACAAAAGGAAAGGGATGACCGAGAACTCAAGGAAGCTGAACAACAGAAATCAAAGCTCTTAGAAATGTAAGTTAACTTTCGTTCTGTTTTCTTCATAAAGTTTTTGTAATTATCACAACTTTATATATGAAACTCTCATTGTCACACATCTCGTGTCACTTGTCTGAGTTATTTGTCCTTGTCATTCTTATTAACTCTTTAATCTAGAAAAAGACTTGTAAACTCTCAAGTATGGCTGTTTTTATAATAGAAAAATCCTTATGGAACTTTTATCAGCCTTATAAGAAGAGTATAGGTTTTGGCATCATCAAAAAGGGGCAAATTGTTAAGAACTTTGTATTAGGGTTTTGATGATACCAATGTAATGTAGAAAAGTAGACCCCTAACTTTTAGCTTTTTCAATCGCTGCTTTCGTCCTAGACGAGAGTTGCCATAACTCCTCTGTAATTCGTGTTAAGCTAGACAAACACACGAAAATGAGTTATGACTAGATGTTAGGGTCTCCAAGGCGAAAGAAGACACGAGACATGAAGAACAACAACGAGAGTCAAGCAGGAGTTGTCAACAAGCACGAAAGGACAGTTTTGTTAAAAGACGATCCTTATCAAGCATTACTTCTCTTCAACAACGAGAAGAATGTTCTACCTGTCTGATTTGACAACATCCTAGGACAATAAGGACTTCATCTTATGGGACACACTTTTCAAGAAGCATTAAATGAAGATGTACCATCTCCTGGAGCTAAAGGACAAAACCCTAATGCTTTCCATACCTTCAACGGCTACATGGTACAACCTCATTAATGGAGCATTTAATGCATGAAGCTCTCCGGTCCTTGTCCACTGGTTAAAAGGTTCGAAAATTTCATCTCCCTCCAACGGATGAATTTTCATCACCTATAAAAACCCACCTTCATCAACTAAGAAGGTGCTGGTTCATTATCACTCGACTCATTTACTTGCAAAAGCTCTTGAACGCTCTCAAATTTCCAAAAGCTTTTGTGAACCAGTATTGAGGTGTTAAGTTACTTGAAGAAGGTCTTTGATCATTTTTCTTACACCTCAAAAGAAGTCTTGCAATCTGTTCGAAGCAATCATCTCTCAGTCAAGACTTCATTGTTGGAGAAATCAAGAAATCATTTTCTACCAACCTCAACTCAGGAGAAGAAGTTGATAGAGGCGGAGTAAACTTGCGAAGTTGAAAAACCTACGAAGGCTGTCCGGCTTAGTGATCAATGAAGTCTTTGTGTAATTGTGCTAAGGAGTGATAGTGCAATCCTTCCATAAGTTGTGGAAGAAGAGTGGTGTAGGCAACGTTTGGCCGAACCACTATAAAATCTCGTGTTCCTTCTATTCCTTTACTTACGCTTTTTATTTCTGCATTTGCATCATTCTAATCATCACCGTTACCGAAAGTTTCTCTAATCTCATAAACTCGTGCAAAGCTATTAAAACGAATCTGACTTTTCCGCTGCGCCAAAACACTGAAAGGTGACGTTAAGGGCATTTCACGAAAAGAGTCTATTCACCCCCCCTCTAGACTCTCGTTACATTCTATTGGGACCAACACAATTGGAGATCCAATTGGTGAACGAAGTAGTACCATTGGATTAAAGGGGTCAATTGGTTATGTTCATACTTTACCACTTGTTTCCATAACTAGCTAGCTTAACAGAAAAAATCATATTCATATATCATATCTTATGTTGACGAAGTTCTTTCCCAAAAATTAAAATCCTCTATTAAGTTTTTTTTTTTTTTTTTTTTTTTTTTTTTTTTTTTTTTTTCATTTGCTTTGTTTGTTTTCACATATAATTTGGTTTTAGAGTACGGGATAGGAGCAAAGGCATCAACTTTTGGAGATGTGTATAGCTTTGGAATTCTTTTGTTGGAAATGTTCACAGCTAAGAGGCCCACGGATGATTTATTCAATGGTGAATGTAGCAGTCTTTGTGAGTATGTGGAGATGTCGTTGTAGACCCATTGCTTTCAGCGTGCCTAGAAAGCATATATGGAATAACACCGGATGTAGAGTTGAAGAATGATGACAATTTGGTGGAAACTGATGAGAGCGAGGTTGAATAACTTCTTCCTCACCATCTTCAAAATTGGACTCACTTGTGCTTCAAGATCACCAATGGACCGCATGAGTATGAATGAAGTGAGCAGGGAATTACAGAAGATTAAGAAGGCATTCTTTGCATAAAATTAAGCAAACATGTCTTGTGGACATACAATATCTCCATGTGTAGAAATTAAGAAAAACTTGTTTTCCAATTTTCCTAGCTAATATATGTTGCTCTAAATTTCTTTAATTTTAATTTAAACTTTTCTTCGATTCTTCTTTTGTTGCATGATGGGGAACAAGCAATGCTCCAAGATATATGTTCTTATAATAAATATTGTGATTTGGTTGAAATTTTGTATATTAATTAGAGTATAAATATTTCGATATATTAAATTGACATATATAACACGATCCTATGGTATGCACAATTAGTCAACTAATTAACCTAACATAAATTCATAAGAAAATAAAATTGCACTAAAAAGATTTTGCGTGACGGATTCGGTCGAGAGAGTTGGTAAGAATTAAACTAGTAACTTTCAAATACAAAAATTGTGCTTCAACAATTAGCCACCATTATAAATACACTAGAAATAGAGCACCATAATGACAAAAAATAAAAACAAAAATAAAGAGACTCGATATAAATCTAATTAAAAGGTCGGAAAAGCTAAAGTTGCACATTGTATGTAGTTGTTATAATAAAACTAGTGTATAAAAAATGAAATAAAAAAATAAAGCAATATTGTCAAATGAAATGAAAGTGTAATTAGAATTATACTTATTTCATGAACCACATTACTACATGGACCATGATCCACATTAAAATTTGCCCTCATTATCTTGTCTGAGGTAACTAAGGACGGCCTCTGCCTGCAAGTAGCCAAAAAAAAAATGTTGTTAGCCCAATGCAAAAAAGTTGTTTTTTTTTTTTTTTTTTTTTTTTTTTTTAAATTGTTGGTTCGAAGTTTTGTGACATGTCTACCTATAGTCTTTGACTATCATTGTTTTTACTTTCAGCCCCTAGACTTTAAATTTTTATCACTTTTAATCCTTCCGCCAAGTTATACCGCCAAACGGATGTTGTGCACATACTGATTTTTGGTGATGTTTAACTAGAAAAGCCATTAGAAGGACTAAAAATGTTAAAAGAAAATAACAGTAGAAGACTATAAGTAGAAATGCCACAAAAGTCGAACCACCAGGAATGGTAAAACTCGAATCCAAAACAAAGAAAGAGACCCTACATGTTATATATATAGTTAGCATCAAACCTTTTCTCTTGCTCTAGCTGGTGTTGCCATACTGCAACAGTGCTTCTAATGAAGGGATGGAGAATGATATTAGTGTTGGTGCATAGTAGCAGGAGAGTAGCAGCCGCGCTAGCTCTCCTTACCTCTTGCTGATCCGCTGTTAACAATGTTAGTGTTTTAATTGCTCCAAAAAATCCCAACATATAATTGGCAATATTATTATGGCAAACTAAGATAGGGTTAGCTTGGTGTCGGTTTGTGTTACAGAAGACTGATTGATCAGATACAGCAACAGACGCACTGGCACTGAAGATCTGTTTTAGGAAGATGTTTCCTTTTTACTGAACGCGGTATAAGAAGTTAGCTTTGGAAAGAATATCAGCAGATTTGTCTTGGAAAGGTATGGACCGAATCTTTAAGATTACATCCCTCTCATATCGTCCTACCATCTACTATCAGAGATGCTTTTGGAAAGTGTTCTTGCTATGGAAGTATAAGTACCCCTATTCGGTTATGAATTACGGTTACACTTTTGAGAAGAAAGAAACACTCCGACTTATACTAAAAGATCACATCTTTGATTATCATGCCTCTTCTCAAGACAATTTGTTCTTGGTGATTATGATGAAGAATTTGAGAAGAGATATCGTTGCTTAAACGAAAAGGACGCTAAGATCACACAGTTGTGGGAACAACATTGGACTGCGTCACTGAAGTGGACTGCATCAGAGTTAGCTCTCCAAGTGATGGGATTTCATTGGACTTCTGTATGCACGGCTCTCCAACTTCAACAATCCACTAAATCTGTGTAGACTGGGTATGTACCTTTTGTGGGGCACTTCGGTGAGATTATTGTTTCTCTACCTTTGTACATTGGAATATGAGTTAGTGGATTGGACGCCTCTGTGATCATCCCCCAGATGTAGATACACACTGTATCAAACTGGGTAAACATCTTGTGTGTTGTTTTTGCTGTCTGCCTTAGTTTACTCTTTATGCAAACATATAAGCAATCTATCTAACTGACCGACATCATCGTTGATTCTGTCAGTCTAATCCATCAGTCACTTAAACCTATTAATATCCTTAAATTGAGGAAATGCAAAATTACAAACAACTTCAACCACAACGGGGATCCTGAACAATTGCGGTTCTTCCTTTATGAATGGTAGCAAGATTGTACAGAGAAGCAAGATCAAGACAATTGATCATAATATAATGACATCCAAATCATCAATATGAATTTAAAAAATCAAAACAAAAATCTAAAAATACTAATCCAAACTTAAAAATCATATATTATTGTACTAATAAGATGGAATGATACCAAATTTTAATTCGGAAATGAAGTATTTATTTGAATGGGTAATCAAATCTCATAGTTGTTTTTAAAAAGTTGTCAACTAAACACTAACTATAATTTTGATTCTATTCTTGATGTGTAAACCCATGAACCAAACACACCATTATTATGTTATTTGGCCCACATAGCAGAGTTAAATCACATTAAGAAGATCTTGTGAGAGAACATTAGCGACTAGCGAGAATCAACACTTTCAAATATTAGAATCACGCTCCACTCATTTGACTAGTCTTTTATGGGCTTTCCTTTATTTTATTTTATTTTTTTGAGTGACAAGGGAAATCCATAGTGACTACTTAAGGGTGTACACTAAGTAAATCATACATCGTGACTTTAGTTAACAAAAGACCATAAGGAGGTAAACCAACCTAAGTTATCCATGATTGATTCAAACCAACGAGGTCAATATTCCTCTCCCAATAGAAGTTGCATGAAGTTGTAATCTTGTGGTTACCAAATCAATCATCTGACCAATTAGAGTTGTTAACGGATTTCCCTTAATTTTGATAAGCTATATATTAACGTAATATTGGGTGTCATGTTTGTCTATATATTACTTAATAACCCAATTTATTGTGTTACAGAGACTTTGTTGACGAAGACGAATTGAAGCATGAGAAAACCATATCTGTCATATATGCATGGCGTATATAGTATGGAGCACCAATTGAAGCGTATTTGCCTCCGATATTCAACTTGTCAAACACGCATATCACTTTAAATTCTTGGGTGACGGAGTCCGCCACCAAGTTTCTTCCATGAAGTTACATTTTAACTTAAAATATTCTCTAATATAATGCTCCTTAAAAAGAAAACACATGAGATGAATTGTCAGTTGTTTTTTGGTGACTACAATTTAATTAATTTATTTGTAGTATCTGCTCAACAATACAATATGTCAACTAACATTCTTGATTTGATCTTTCATTTAGAAAGGTTATACTGATACCATCAAATCACAAAGTATTATTAACACATTGTTTTCCCCTTAGTTTGGAACAAGCATTCACGTGAAAGTGGGAGTACGTCAGTTTGGTGATGACTTACAGAACAATTAATGTGCACCACAAAATTATTGAATTGCCTGACTTTAATTTCCAAGTCTAGCAGACACTTTAGTATCACAAAATTCTAAATTGACGTATGGAGCATGGTATGAAGTGTATTTAATTTGCCTCTACTTACACGCATATCAGAAATTTCTTGGGTGACGGACTCCATTTTGATTTAGCACATCTATATAAGCAATATATAATACCCTGTGAGAAAAACACATCATTCACTCTCTTGTTTATCTAAATCCCATCTATCTTTTTGAATTCTAGTTCAGAGATGGAGGTGATGAAGAAGATGGCCCATGAGAAAACCCTCTCCTCACTCTTTTATTATCTTCTGTTTTGCATAATATGCAGTGTTTCCCTTATTCCCACTTCCTCCTTTGTATCATCATCACCTACTCTCTACTCAAATGAAACCGATAGAATTGCTCTTTTAGAGTTTAAACACCGGATTATTTCTGCTGATGATCCGAATGGAGGAGTAGTTCTTAACTCCTGGAATGACTCTGTGCACCATTGTGGTTGGCACGGAGTGAGGTGTGGTCGTCGACACCCACGAGTTGTGGCGTTGAGGCTTCCTAAGATGGGGTTGGTGGGAACCATATCTCCTCATATTGGAAATCTCACTTTCCTCAGGCTTCTTAATCTCAGTGAGAATAATTTGTATGGTGAAATTCCAGGAGAGATTGGTGGTTTGTTTCGACTAAGATCTCTCTACCTGTATAGGAATGCACTGAGGGGAGAACTGGTTTCGCTTAATTTTAGCAACTGCTTACAACTTAGGGAACTCGAACTTTCTAACAATGGCCTCCAAGGGAAGATCCCTACTGCATTCCTAGCTAATTTGAAGAAGATACAACAACTATCTCTGGGTAGCAACAGATTGACAGGTGGAATTCCTCCCACCACTTTTGGGAATTTGTCATCACTTCGAAAGTTGAGCTTGGAGTGGAATCATTTGGAGGGACGTATTCCGCATGATATTACGCGGTGTTGGGGTTTAAATATCCTTTCTCTTGGTTCCAACAATTTCACTGGTACACTATCTCCTTCTTTCTTCAATATGACTTCTATACAAATTTTTTCAGTATCCCAAAACTCACTTGAAGGGACCATTCCAAGCTATATAGGAGACACCATGCCAAACTTGAAAGTCTTTTATTTTGTGATGAAATAAGGCATAATTCATTCATCTCCAAGTGTCTCAGCTCATCCAATTCATCTGCTTCTACTCTGCTTGCTTTGTTTGTTTTTTAGTCATTAAGGGCATGTTAGTCTTTTCACCTTCATGGCAGTTATAACTGCCGGTTCATGTAGCTTGGTGGTCCACAGCTTTCTTTTCCCTTCTTCTTCTTCATATGTAAACAGCTTTGAGCTTCAAGCTTTTTGTGAGTTCAATGGCACATTTCCAGTTTCTCTTCTAAGCTTTGAAGTTTTCCAACATGGTATCAGAGCGCCACCGGAGTTACGCCGCAGCAGTCACGGCGGAGACTGAAACCGGTGATGAGAATGACGGCGATCAAGCTGCTTCGTCCGAGCATGTTCCGATCAACCCTAGTCCTGTTCAGCATGTGGAAGAGCTCCACGATCCTATGTACCTACACGTAACGGAGAATCCTAACCTCGTGCTTGTATCTCCTCCATTGTCAGAAATCAATTATGCAACATGGAGCAGGTCAATGAGAATTGCACTTGAGGTTAAAAACAAATACGGATTTGTTGACGGAAGCATAACAAGTCCTGGAGAGTCTGATCCGAGGTATCCGACCTGGAGAAGGTGTAATAATATCGTGTGCTCCTGGCTGTTCAAATCGCTCAGTCCTACGATTGCAGAGGGAGTGTTGTACTTTGAAGTTGCAGCTGAAATCTGGAGCGTTCTTAAGAGCAGATACTCTCAAGTTGATGCTCACAGAATTGCAGAACTGCAGAACGAGATTTACAGATCTACTCAAGGTAGCCTTTCAATTAACGAGTATTTTACTAAGTCTAATGCTCTATGGGTCCAAATGAATGCCATGAGGCCTATCCCTAAATGTGAGTGTGTACCGAGGTGTTCCTGTGCACTTACCAGCAAAATTCAGAAGGAGAAACAGGAGGATCAGATCATTCGATTCTTGGAATGACTGAATGAAGAATATGAAAATATTAAGTCTGGAATTTTGGTTATGGATCCTATTCCTAGTATGGAAAAAGGTCCTCAATATGGCACTTAAGATGGAGAGGAAGCTTAGAAACTCTGGCATGAAGAATGTTGATTTGGTTCAATCTAATTCTATTCAGACCACAACAACACAGAATGCAGATGATCAATCAGTTGTGGCTGCTGCAACTTCCTTTAAGCAAAAGAAATTCAACAGTAATTCTGGGAAGAATGTTCCTAAGTGTATGTTCTGTGGAAAGCTAGGGCACACCATTGAGAAATGTTACAAGAAACATGGTTTTCCCCCAGGATGGATTCCAGGTTATAAGTCCAGAGACAAACAATCTCAGGACTCTCAGCCTGCTTTTGTAAACCAAGTTGGAGATGTAGGCCTCACTGCTGATCAATTTCAGAGGCTTGTGACCTTATTGCAGAACCAAGGCCAAGGAAGCTATTCATCCAATAATGCTGCTGTGACTTTGTCCAACATTGGAACTAATCCAGATTCCAGAAAAAATGCAGAGAGACATACTGAAGGCAAGTTCATTCTTAATCCCCATGTTAATACTGTCTTGAATTCTGTTGATATTTGGATCCTAGATTCTGGTGCAACTGACCACATTACCTGTTCCCTGGATTACTTTGAGTCTTATTATGATGTTCATGGGTATTGGTGAAGCTACCTAATGGGGAAACAGTTAATGTTACACACATGGGAGATATTAGACTTCACATGGATATAATGTTGAAAAATGTGTTGTTTATTCCATCCTTTTCTTTCAATATTGTCTCTGCTAGCAAACTAGCAAGAGAGTCAGGCTATGAGATTGTCATTGGGGCTGATTATTGTAATATTCAGGGCCATCTTGGGATGGTGGATGGTTTTGCTAAAGAGAAGGGAGGATTGTACCTGGTCTCCAATCCCCCAATCAGAAAGAGAGCTCATCCAATTCATTCTGATAGCAGCTCCATTGAGATGACTTGTAGTAGTTCTTCTGCTGAGATATGGCATAATAGGTTGGGTCACTACCCAATGAATAAGATGCAAATGTTGAAAGGAGTGAGAGTTTCACCTTGTACTATTCCTGAAACTCCTTGTGATACATGTTATTTTGCCAAACATAAGAAGGCTTCCTTTCCTCTTAGTAGTAGCAAATCAAAGAAGTGTTTTGATCTAATTCATATGGATATTTGGGGCCCCTTCTCTGTGGCCTCTCTTAATGGAGAACACTATTTTTTAACCATTGTTGATGATTATAGTAGATATACTTGGTTGCATTTAATGAGACAGAAATCAGAAACCAGAACCATATTCCACAACTTCTATAACTATGTTCTAACTCATTTTGGTGACAAGATTAAAACTGTTAGAACTGACAATGGGAATGAGTTTCTGATGCAAGCTTTCTTTAATGAGAAAGGGGTGGTCCATCAAAGGTCATGTGTACACACTCCTCAGCAGAATGGGGTAGTGGAAAGGAAGCACCAACATGTTTTAAATGTAGCTAGGGCCTTAAAGTTTCAGTCTGGTCTTAATGACAGTTTTTGGGCACACTGTGTTTTGCATGCCTCTTTTCTCATAAACAGGTTGCCCACTGAAGTCTTGGATGGACAGTCTCCCTTCCAGATGTTGCACAAAAGAAATGTTGATTACAGTCTTTTGAGATCCTTTGGGTGCCTATGCTTTGGAGCCACTATTTCACAAGGAAGGAACAAAATGCAGACAAGAGCCAAGAAATGCATTTTCTTGGGGTTTCCTGCTAATATAAAGGGATATATGGTTTTTGATATAACTGATAGAACTGTTTTTGTCTCCAGGAATGTGGTTTTCCATGAGCATATTTTTCCCTACAAGGGACAACACTCAGGGACTGGTATTGATAATGCCACTTCAGATATCCCTGGTCCTTCACTTCCTTTGATTCCAACATATATTGAAGCAGATTATAATGTGTCAGATCAAGTTGGGAGACATAATAACAGAAAGGTGATCAAAGATACCTTGTTGAATGATCACCCTATAGAAATACAGCCTGAGCAACAATCCACTCCAGACATCCATGTTGAACTCTCCCAGTCTAGGGATTACTCCATTGATCATGGTCATGCCCATATCACACAGCCACATTCTGAGGATGATCTCAGAGACACTGATGATCAAGTTACTCAGCAGCAACTTAGGAGGTCTGTGAGATCAAGAAATCTTCCCTCAAAACTACAGGACTATGTGTGCCAGATTGCCACATCTGAGAACTTTAATACCAGATCTCTCAAAACATCCCCTCATTCTATAGGGAAGTTTATTTCTTATCAAAATTTACCCTTGGCTCATAGAATATGTGCAGCTGCTATTTCCTCCTCTGAAGAGCCACAGTCCTATCAGGAAGCAGTAGTGCACTTGGAATGGAGACAAGCCATGGAAGCTGAGATACAAGCTCTGAATCAGAATAAAACTTGGATATTAACAGATTTACCAGCTGGTAAATCTCCTATTGGTTGTAGGTGGGTATATAAAGTAAAGCATAGGGCAGATGGTTCCATAGAAAGGTACAAGGCAAGGCTAGTTGCTAAGGGCTATACTCAACAACTAGGTGTTGACTACATTGAGACCTTTTCTCCTGTGGCTAGAATGACAACAATCAAAGCCTTTCTAGCTGTGGCTGCCATTAAAGCTTGGAACATTCAGCAACTTGATATTAATAATGCCTTTCTACATGGAGATTTAGAAGAGGAAGTGTATATGTTGTTGCCTCCTGGCTTTAAGAATGGTAAGCCAAATCAGGTTTGCAAGTTAATGAGATCTTTATATGGTCTTAAACAGGCAAGTAGACAGTGGAATGCCAAGTTAACTAAAGCCTTACAGGTACATGGCTTTCAACAATCAGCTGCTGATCCTTCTTTGTTTACTAGACAAACAGGAACCTCTTTCATTGCCCTATTGGTGTATGTTGATGATATCCTGCTAGCAGGAACAGATTCCACTCAAATTGATGAATTAAAGCAGTCCTTGGATAAAGAATTCAAGATCAAAGACTTGGGGCATTTGAACTACTTCCTAGGCATTGAGGCTTTCAGAACTGATGCTGGAATCAACATTTGCCAGAGGAAGTATGCTATGGAGATCTTGAAAGAATATGGCTTTCTGGAAGCCAAACCAGCTAAAACTCCTGCTGTCACAGGTCTAAAACTGACTAATTGTGATGGAGTTCCCCTTGCTCAACCTGAAGTTTTTAGAAGATTGGTTGGGAAGCTCTTGTATTTAACAAATACTAGACCTGATATTTCATATGCAGTTCAACAATTGAGTCAGTTTGTGGAGAAGCCTAGAGATGTTCATATGAGAGCAGCTCATAGGGTATTGAGATATCTAAAAGGGGCACCTGGAAAAGGCTTATTCTATTCATCTAAAACACCTATGAAGCTGCAAGGATTTTCAGACTCAGACTGGGCAACCTGTGTGGATAGCAGAAGATCTGTGACTGGATATTGTATATATCTTGGGAGTTCTTTGATTTCTTGGAAAACTAAGAAGCAAGCCACAGTCTCTAGATCATCTTCTGAGGCAGAATACAGAGCTTTGGCTTCTACAACATGTGAAATACAATGGTTATTGTTCCTGTTAGCAGACCTGAAGGCAGAAACCACTACCCCAGTAACTTTGTATTGTGACAATAATTCTGCTATTGCTATTGGTGAGAATTTTGTCTTCCATGAACGTACTAAACATATTGAGATTGATTGTCATGTGGTTAGGCAAAAGATTAATGAAGGAATCATCAAACTTCTTGCTGTCTCTTCACAAAACCAGACTGCAGATGGCTTCACAAAAGCATTGGCTAAGCCCTTGTTTGATAAGTTTCATGATAAGCTGGGCCTTCAAGATCTTCATGCTCCAGCTTACGGGGGGGTGATGAAATAAGGCATAATTCATTCATCTCCAAGTGTCTCAGCTCATCCAATTCATCTGCTTCTACTCTGCTTGCTTTGTTTGTTTTTTAGTCATTAAGGGCATGTTAGTCTTTTCACCTTCATGGCAGTTATAACTGCCGGTTCATGTAGCTTGGTGGTCCACAGCTTTCTTTTCCCTTCTTCTTCTTCATATGTAAACAGCTTTGAGCTTCAAGCTTTTTGTGAGTTCAATGGCACATTTCCAGTTTCTCTTCTAAGCTTTGAAGTTTTCCAACATTTTGACATTAACCAATTCCATGGAACCATCCCTATTTCATTTACCAACACCTCTAAGCTTCGAATTCTTGACGTATCACAAAACCATCTTGTAGGTAAAGTTCCAGATAATATTGGAAGGTTAAAAGATCTTCTACGTTTGAACCTTGAGCACAATCTTCTTGGTAGCAATGATCCCCTCAATGACTTGACTTTTATAACATCTCTGTCCAATTGTAGTAATTTAAAGGTCTTTTCCATTGATAAAAATAGATTTGAAGGTAAATTGCCAAACACAATAGCTAACCTCTCTTCCAAACTCTATATCTTATCTCTGGGAGAGAATAAGATATTTGGTACAATACCCGGAGGAATAAAAAATCTAGTTAGCCTGATCGCTCTCGAGATTGGAGTCAATCTATTATCCGGTAATATTCCTAGTGAGATAGGTGAATTGCATAAACTACAAGTTTTGAATCTTGCAGAAAACCAATTATATGGAAAAATGCCACTCACTCTTTTTAACCTTACTTCTCTAGCTTCACTTGTTTTGTATAACAACAATTTTGATGGCAATATACCATCAAATGTGGAAAACTTCAGGAACTTGAATGAGTGGTACATGAGCACTAACAAACTACATGACACCATTCCTCAACAAGTTTTTAATTTGCTATCTTTGTCTGAGTGCCTTGACCTTTCCAGCAATTCATTCACTGGCCCGTTATCTCCCACTGTGGGCAAATTGAAAACACTAAATGCCTTAGACATCTCTAGGAACAAATTGTCAGGCGAAATTCCAGATACAATTGGAGATTGTGTGAGCCTTGAATATCTTGATATGCATGGTAATTTCTTTGAAGGTAAAGTCTCACCTTCTTTGGTTTCCTTAAAAAGCATTATGTATTTGGATATCTCAAACAACAAGTTGACTGGAGAGATACCTAGAGATCTCCAAAAGCTCCCTCTCTTGAAATATTTGAACCTTTCTTTCAATGATCTTGAGGGGGAGGTACCAACATTTGGAGTGTTTGCAGTGGCGACCAATGTATCATTGCTTGGAAACAAAAAGCTATGCGGTGGTATACCTGAGCTAAATCTGCCTCCATGTCCTGTGAAGAAAACAAAACACAGAAAGCATTTTAAGCATATGATTGTTATCTTCACATGTATCTGCTTGGCTCTGGTGTTTGCATCTTTCATTGCCTTTCTAACATTGTGTTGGAGGAAAGGAAAAAGGATGGAGTCAGCTAAGCCATCCAAAGTTGAAAAGCTTTCCAAAATCCCTTATAGAGACTTGCATCAAGCTACTGATGGTTTCTCTGAGACAAATTTGATCAGTTCGGGAAGTTTTGGCTCCGTTTACAAAGGAAGATTTGAGTAAGGTGGTGGAGAACAAACAATTGCGGTGAAGGTACTTGACCTTTTAAAAAATGGAGCTTCAAAGAGCTTTCTTGCAGAATGTAAAGTGTTGAGGAACATACGCCACCGAAATCTTGTTCCAATTTTGACTTGCTGCTCGAGTTGTGATTTTGCAGGTATTGAATTCAAAGCTTTGGTTTATGAGTTCATGGAAAATGGGGATTTGGATATGTGGTTGCATGCACATTCATCTAATGCAAGGACAACCGTTCTAAGTGTTCTCCAAAGGTTAAACATTGCAATTGATGTAGCTTCTGCATTGCATTATCTCCATGATGATTGTGAGCCAACGGTTATTCATTGTGATCTAAAGCCAAGTAACATTCTGCTTGACAAAGACTTAACTGCTCATGTTGGCGACTTTGGTATATCAAGACTTTATTCACGCACAATTAGAGATCCAATTGGTGAACAAAGTAGTACCATTGGATTAAAGGGGTCAATTGGTTATGTTCCACCAGGTAAGAATATTGTCATAAAACTTTACCACTTGTTTCATAACTAGATAGCTTAAGAGAAAAAGTCATATTCATATATATATATATCATACCTTCTATTGAAGAAGTTCTTCCAAAAATTAAAATGCTCTATTAATTATTTTGTTTTTTATTTACTTTGTTTGTTTTCACAAATAATTTGGTTTTAGAGTACGGGATAGGAGCAAAGACATCAACTTTTGGAGATGTGTATAGCTTTGGAATCCTTTTGTTGGAAATGTTCACAGCTAAGAGACCCACAGATGGTTTATTCAATGGTGAATGTAGCAGTCTTTGTGAGTATGTGGAGATGGCTTTGCCAGAGGAAGTGATAGAGATTGTAGACCCATCACTTTCAGCATGCCTAGAAAGCAGTCATGGAATAATATCGGATGTAGAGTTGGGGAATGATGGTAATTTGGTGGAAATTGAAGAGAGCAAGGTGCATAACTTCTTCCTCTCCATCTTCAAAATTGGTCTCAATTGTGCTTCAAGATCACCAATGAATCGCATGCATATGAATGAAGTGAGCAAGGAATTACACAAGATTAGGAAGGCCTTCTTTGCATAAAATTATGCAAACATGTCTTCTGATCTAGCAATGTTTCCACTGCTGAACTAGCAATTATGTTTTTTTTTTTTTTTTTTTTTTTTTTTTGAAGAAACTTGCAATTATGTTAACTTTGTTATTTATTTGGACTAATAAATGATGCTCTGTGTTTCTTTTGCTATAAACTTTTTTTTTTTGGATTCTTCTTTTGTTATATGAAGTAACCAATATTTTCTATATTTTTATTACACTAAAGGTCCGTTTGAAAACTTGAAAAATATTTTAATTTTACTTGGTTAAAATAATTTACTACTTGATATTACGATATTCACAAACAAAACAAAAGATGAATCCTGGGGAATGAAGTACAATATCAATATAAAAATTTGGAGATATTCTATGCAACAGAAGGTGTTTGCTTGTTCTTATATAAGAAGCTCTTTTGATCTTCTGTAACTTGATGATAACATCTTTCATAAGTATTCGATCCAATGGGGATGTAGAAGCACAAGACAGTCCGATTTTGAAGATGAAGAAAAAGAAAGTACGCATCTCGCTCTCCTTAATTTTCAGCAAATTTCCATCACTGTCCAACTTTTTATCCCATCCATGGTTTCTTTCTAGGTATATATGTTACAAGCAATGGGTCTACAATCTTCATTACTTGCTCTGGCAATGCTGATGCTACATACTCATAGAGACTACATTCATCATTGAATAACTCTGTAAGTCGCTTTGCAGTGAACATTTCCAGCAAAAGAATTTTATAACTATATATATCTCCAAATGTTGAATCATTTGTGCTCGTTGCATATTCTAGATCAAAATAATTTGCAAAGAGAAAACAAATTAAACCAAATGTAAAAATAAAGCATCTATTATAGTTTTAGTGTGGTGAAGAACTAAATCATAACTGTAAGTTTATAGAAATGACTATATGGTAAAGTTTTAATTAAAAATATGTTAGTTAATTACCTGGTGGAACGTAGCCTATGGTCCCATTTAATCTGACGTACTAGATGAATCTTCAATTGTTGGTGCATAAAACATTGATGATCCAAAATCTCCAACATGAGCTTATACTTCCGTTTCCTGAGAACTCAGCACATAACGTACAAAACCGGGCAACGATTCATCAGAAGACAAACGGGGATGAGATGGAGATGATGATCCTCTTGGGATTATAATAGAATGGATTGAATTTGGAGTAAATTAAGGCCTTTAAAGAGTTTAATTAGGGATTACACACAATTTTGCAATCACTGCCTTTAAAGAGTTTAATTAGGAGTAAATTAAGGCTCCAAATATTTGAAAAGTTCTTGTTATCAGTTTTCTTGATTTGTTAAGAAAGCAGCAAGTCAGCAACTTGTATTTTAGACTTTTAGTCAGCAAGTCAGCAAGAAAGAAAGTATTTATTTAATGTTCAACAACCATTGTTATTAATCAGCTTTCCGCATATACAATTTCCATCATCACATTTACTCAACAACAAGATTTCTGTGACGTATGTTCCTTAATATTTCACATTCTGAATGAAAGCTCATTGAAGCACCATTTTTTAGAAGGTCAAGAACCTTTACCATTACAGTTGGTCCCAGACCTTGCTCAAATGTTCCTCTATAAACAGTGCCAAAACTTCCATAACCAATTCAATCAAATTTGTGTTAGAGAAACCGTTAGTTGCCTCATGCAACACTCTGAAAGATACCTGCTCGTGAAAACTGGGCCAACTGGAAAAAGAGTTGCCGTAAAACTTTTCAACATTGGATTGCTTAAAGATTTTGAAAAGCTTTGAAACCTCACATAACTTAAAGGATTTCCTTCTTGTCTCAATTGTGGATGTGAACCTAAAAGAGGCTGATGAGTGTGAAGAAATCTCAATTCTATCACCAGCAGTTGCATGCAAACAATTTAAATTTGAATTTTCGTTGGATGCACAAGTAGTATGATCATGGTGTAAATGGGAGTCTTCATCATGTGACGCCATAGTATGGTTAGAAAATTGACTAGCTCACTTCTTACTTATATCTCTTGAGAGTGCCAACCGGTCTTTATAAGCAGAAGAGCTTGTGAAGAACAAAGATGAATCCGGCTTCTATTTGAATTGTACTATATGAGACGGAACTTTTCCAAGGGGAACCTAAAGGGGGAGTTGAATCAGTTCATTAAGACGTAGTTTGATTATGATCGAAAACCAGTTAACAACACAAACCAAAATAAGAGCAGATATCATATGTGATAGATAGTTAGCATCAAACCTTTTCTCTTAAGTAGTTAAGAAGTCTTTGTGCCTGCAAGTAGACAAAAACAAGTTATCAAAACAATTAAAAATAAGGACATATCAAAACCATAATTGATAGATGGTTAGCATCACACCAATTGTCGTGCTCTGGGAGTACTGCAGTTGGACAACGCTGTTAAAGGAGAGACAGCTCCAAGCCGGAGAACCATATTGCAGCACTGCATGTTGTCAGTGCATAATTGCAGGAGAGCAACAGCTGCATCCTCTTTAGCTCTTGAAGATCCCAACTCGAGAATCTCAACCAGAATAGGGACCCCTCCTTCTCGACAAATTCTGAACTTCCCTCAAAAATGGAAGAAAGATTAGACAAAATACAAACCGCTTCATCAACCATCCCAACATCAGGGCGCATCAACTCTATGAGGTACTTCACTGCACCTGCCTGCACAATACGATACTTGTTCATCAAGTATAGATAAGTAATACAAAGCTGTAGCTGCATCTTTCTTGCTCCTGGGAGCTCCATATGCCAATAATTCAACAACAGCTTTTATTGCCCTACAAATCTTAACCTTAAATCCCTCAATATCTGATAAGTTGAAAAGAGTGGCAACAGAGGTTTCTTGAGCCTCTGGGCTCCCAGTAGAAAGGACTTGTGTAACACCCCGAATTTTCAAGACTTTTAAAACTTACATAGTAAAAGATAGAATCTCATTAAATCCCCAAAATACGATACAACGAGTACGGGGTGCTATGCCACACCGAGCTAGAGAACTCGGGTGCACAGGCTAAATTCTAAAACCTCAATCAGTATCAATACTAAATTATGGCACGCAGGCCGAAAGGGAAAAACTATCTAAGCTATGCCCCAAGCTTCTAGCGCGCTCCATTGATCTACTCGTCTGTGCCTGAAAGCCAAATATATCTGTTCAGCGAGAGATGCTGGTAACCCACTCCAACGCGTTGAAATACAATACATATAGATATATATATAGATATACGAAAACCATTTTGAACATGAAGATATATCCTACGAACTCTAGCTTTTAAAACAGGGATAAACTCAACAGATAGGGCTAAGCACAGACAGCAGTTATACCAAGCATATACAGTTTACAACAGGCAAGACAGATAAGATAAGCACAATTAATAATCATAACCCAACATATACGATTCCCAATATGAATCCCATAGTCACATTCCCAAGGCACTCATAACAACAACTCCTCCATATCTCATCACATAGCACACTTTGTTGGCGCCACAGGACCAATCGCATGCCCATACATGAGGGTCAGCGCATATAGCTCTGACACGGCCCCGCAGCACCCTGCCCCGTATCGCAACACGGAGGGGTCGATCGCAACCGACCAATGAACCGCAGCTCATCATAGTTTGATCGCAACCAAACAGTTGATCGCAGCCCAAGAGTATGTCATCTGACCGCAGCCAGGAAATATGAACCGCAGCTCATGTAGAAACGTTTGATCGCAACCAAACGGTGGACCGCAGCCCGAGAGTGTAGATCTGACCGCAGCCAGCTTTTGAACCGCAGCTCAGGAATAACCAATCCGATTGCAACCGAATTGGGGTATCATGCACACATAACACATAGCAAACACATGCAACCCACATTAACACATTGGGAAGGGGGAGAAAACGTATAACAAAACCTATGCGTAATCCTTCACATACTAAGAATAATCCTAAGGGGTTCATACTGCTTTCACCTAGGTCAACGGGATACCAATTCAACTAGCATGCAATATATAAGACTCATACAACCTACGAACGGTATCCGAAATATCAAACTAGACATAGGCACGATAGACGGAGTTCGTTGAGACACCACGGGGGTCGGGGGAACATCAAATGGGGAAGTCAAAATCCCAAATTGGGGTGCAAACCAGCGGGTAGCTGGTGGGTGAGGGTTCACCCGCCGGCTGCCCGCCGGCGGCAGCTATTCCGGGCAGCGGGTGCCTAGCGGGCGGCTGCCCGCTGCCGGTGTTGCCTAAGAAGGCCGCGGGTAGGTGGTGTAACACCCCAGATTTTCAAGATATTTAAAACTTATAAAATAAAGGTGAAATCTCATTAAGTCCCAATCAGAGTACGAGAGTACGGGGTGCTATGCCACACCTGAGCTAGAGAACTCAGGTGCACAGGCTAACTAACTAATGTCCCAATAATATAAATGCATAAACATGGCACGCAGGCCGAAAGGGAAACTAACTACTTCTACGCTCCAAGCTCTAGCGCACTCCAGTGACCTATTCTTCTGTGCCTGAAAGCCAAATATATCTGTTCAGCGAGAGATGCTGGTAACCCACTCCAACGCGTTGAAATACAATACATATAGATATATATACATAGATATACGAAAAGTCATTTCGAAGCATGAGGATATATCCTAAGAGACTCTAGCTTTCAAATCAGGGAACCGACTCGACAGAAAGGGGTACACACAATCAACAGTCATAATCAAGTATATACAATTCTCGACATAAGGCACAGTTATAAATAAACACAACCAATAATCACAATTAAACATGTATAGTTTACTAGCAAGAATCCTATGGTCACGTTTCCATAACAGTCACAACATCAATCCTTCCTATCTCATCATATAGCACACTTTGTTGGCGCCACAGGACCAATCTGTAACACCCCGTGTTACGGCCTTTAATCCTGGATTAATTATTTAATTAATCCCGCTAATAATAATTAAATATGATTAATTATGTTAAGTTCCCCTTTAATTAATTATTAGGGTCCACCGTGAACCGTGGACCCTTGCCTAAATTAGAGGCTTAAGCCTATTAGGAATAAAGGTAGTAAACCTTTTACTATTCAGATTATGATTAGGATCCGCTTTAATTAACATGGACCCTTATCCCTAAAGCAAGTCCCTGAGTCCTATAAGGAATAGAATTAGTAAACCCATACCATTCAGGCCCCAATTAGGAATCTTAAATATATAAATAGGGAACTTAGGAGACACCCGGAACCCTCCCACACGCCTAAACGCCCCATCGCCCCCAGGAGAGCTCCAAGAATTCCCTTAGAAGAAATCAAGAAAGCAAGAAAGCTTAAAGAAAGATCCTTCATAGCCAAGGAATTAATTAAGGCTAAGAGGTAACCCATGTCTCAACAAAACCTATTTTCATAGCTATGATTTCCCCTTAGGGTTTCCCCCATATTGTTGTAAATGGCGATTGATGATGATTATTATTGATGTCGATATAATGATTCCATGAGAAATCTTGATAATCTTGATATTGGGAGTTTCGTGATAATTATGATGTTCTTGATGATTAATTGGGGTTTTGACGATTATGTGTTGTTCTTGATGATTATGATGTTTTTGATGATTAATTGGTATCCTTGATGACTATGTGTTGTTCCTACGAATCTTGCAATAAGAGGACGAATTGTATTCTTGGTGATATAAAAGTGATTAGAACCCTAGGTTGTATCGTATGATATTATTCTTGGATTATCGGGTGGGGAAATCGCATGTTTGGGTGTTGATTATGATTAGAAAAGCATGATAGGTTATGTGCCGTTCGTTTATCGTATTTGATCCGTTAATTGTCTATGTGTTGTCGTTAATTACGTTGAAAAGTGTCTAAGCATGGTTTCGGGTTCCACATCGGTTCCCGGGGCGAAAAGTGATGAAAAGAGTCAGTGGGGGGTAGGTGGGGGTAGGGGACCCGCCACCTACCCGCGGCGTTCACGGGCAGCCCCGGCAGCGGGCAGCCGGCGGGCGGGCAGCTGCCCGCCGGGCACCCGCTGCCCGGAACAGCGTTACCGGCGGGCAGCCGGCGGGTGGACCCCCACCCACCGGCTACCCGCTGGAATCTTCCCCCCTCGGGACCCCGGCTTCCCCGTTTGATGTTTCCCCGATCCCCGTGGTGTCCCAACGGACCCCGTTTGTCGTGCCTATGTCTAGTTTGATATTTCGGGTACCGTTCGTAGGTTTATGAGTCTATTATATTGCTTGCTAGTTGAGTTGGTATCCCGTTGACCTAGGTGGAAGAAGTATGACCCCCTTAGGACTATTCTTAGTATGTGATGGATCACGCATAAGGTTGTTATACGCTTTATCCCCCTTCCCAATGTGTAATGTGGGTTGCATGTGCTTGCTATGTGTTATGTGTGCGTGTTACCCCAATTCGGTTGCGATCGGATTGGTTATCTTGAGCTGCGGTTCAGAAGCCGGCTTTGGTCAGATGGGAATTCCTGGCTGTAGTCGGATGACGGTATCCTGGGCTGCGGTCCAGAAGCTGGTTGTAGTCAGATGGGAATTCCTGGCTGCAACCAGATGACATTTTCCTGAGCTGCGGTTCAGAGGCTGGCTGTAGTCAGACGGGAATTCCTGGCTACAGTCAGATGACATACTCTCTTGGGCTGCGGTCCACTGTTTGGTTGCGATCAAACATTATGATGAGCTGCGGTTCATCGGTCGGTTGCGATCGACCTCCCCGTGTTGCGATACGGGGCATGGTGCTGTGGGGCCGTGTCAGAGCTATATGCGCTGACCCGCATGTATGGGCATGCGAGTGGTCCTGTGGCGCCAACAACGTGCGTTATGTGTTGTGATATGGACGGGTTGTGATTATGAGTGTCTTGGGGGATGTGACTATGGGATTTATATTGGGGATTGTTCATGTTGGGTTATGACCATTGTTTATGCTCTGCCTTACCTGCCTTATCTGTTGTAAACTGCTTATGACTGTTATAACTGTTGCTTGTGTCTGGCCTTATCTGTCGAGTCATTCCTGGTTTTAAAGCTAGAGTTCGTAGGATATATCTTCATGCTCAAAATGGTTTTCGTATATCTATATATATCTCTATATGTATTGTATTTCAACGCGTTGGAGTGGGTTACCAGCATCTCTCGCTGAACAGATATATTTGGCTTTCAGGCACAGAGGATTAGAGCACTGGAGCGCGCTAGAACTGGAGCGTTGAAGTAGTATAGTTTCCCTTTCGGCCTGCGTGCCATATTATGCAATTATATTTCAGAGGATAGTAGTTAGACAGCCTGTGCACCTGGGTTCTCTAGCCCAGGTGTGGCATAGCACCCCGTACACTTATGTTACGTTTTGGGATTTAATGAGATGTTACCTTTATTATTAAGTTTTAAATGTCTTGAAAATCAGGGGTGTTACAGTTGGCATCAGAGCCTAAGTTTGACCCTAGGAAAAGACTCTTAAGACCGGACTTTAGGACGTTAGGCTTGAACTCTAAGTACCTAGGAACATAGGGCTCAGGAATCTTAGGACGCGCGGTGAGATTGTGAGACCTACACATAACTTCCCTACACGTTGCCCTTCCCCATTCTAAAACCCTTCCCCTCTTATCACTTCACCAGAAGTGCATCGAACTCTAACTTAACATTCTTATAAACACTGACCAGAAAGACGATAGCATGGCACCGAACAGAAGGCAATCAAGGACTCCGGAACCCGCCACTAATGACCCCTTAACCCAAACTCTACAGCAACTAACACAGGTCGCACAGGC